GGAAAATTTCTGTAAAAGAATCAGTACTTCGAAGGAAATTTCTTTTCATTATTCCTCATGTAACATGAATATGCAGTACTCCATACTATGAGCTACAGTGATTTTTTTTTTTAAAGTTATCTTAGCCAACTTTCTAAACAATGGTGGCAGTGAAAATATCTCTGTGAATTTCAGAAGCTGAAAAAAAGAGAGAAAAATAACCCTCATTTATAAAACAGAACATGACGCAAAGTGCAGCTGAGTTATAACATGTTCTCTGCTGTAATTTAATCTTTGAAAGAACTATCTACCACAAGGTATTTGCAGCTTATTTCACTCAATCATGATCAAAACTCCACTATTACTACTTAAACAATTTTTTTTTTTAAATCCAAAGCGGGAGTGAGTTGTTTTCTTTTAAGATGGTGACAAGCCATATTAATATGAGGTAGTACAAAATATTATGTTACAGGTATGATGAAGGAGAGAAGGTTCCTAACCCAGCAGAGAGGAGAGCAAGAAATATGCTGCTACCTCTTCCTGCACGGACTGGTGGGGAGCTGACACCACTGGAATGGGAAGGGTACCAGTTACTAATACGTAAGAAGTATGATAGCCTGCACAACTGTAGTACCACAGGGGAAAAAAACAACCAACCAAAAAACAAACAACAAAAAACCAAACAAAAAACCCACAAAAAAACCCAAACACAAACAAAGCAAGAGGAACAAATGACAAGGAAAGGTGTTGGCAAGTAAAACAAGCAAGTTCTGTTCCCAAAAGAGACGGAAAGTCGAGATGCAGTTTTAGCCACCATGCGACTAAATGGCGTGCTTGTACATAGTGTGGGCAAACAGAAAGGGGCCGTACTGCACTGCATTGATTTCTTTCATAATGAAAGTAATATGGTGCAAAGTCTCAAAAACTTGGAAGATTTGGAGGAGTTACCACCTGTCAGCAATGAAAAATAAAATGCACACTCTTATAGTGGATGTATGCCTAATTTGTAACTTTTAGAACACAGAAAAATACTTTCTTTGTTATCTAAAACAAGGTAGCCTGCCTCTCTGTTACTCAGTATTTAAATATTTCAGATTAACATAATCTCAACTATTGGTGCTGTACTTCAAACTATTCTGTTGCAGCATGAGGATTTTTTTTGTTCAGTTTAAAAAAAAAGCTGTACATAGGACAATAAACAGATGATACTGTAGATTTTTTTTCTTCCAGACTCCCTAATTTACTTTTAGGTGGAACACATTCTGTGTAAAGTCAATAATAACATGTATTATTAAGGTCAGACCTCACAGCACAAATGATCATACAAATACCTACTGGTAAGATAACTGAACTAGTATAGACTAGTTCTATACTTGCTCTTCTGTGGTCATGAAGTACATTAATAAAAGTCCTGTTGTTGTGCAGAGTACTATTTCTTATGGTAAACAGTAGACTGAAAGAAAACTTAAGAAGAATACAAATCCACATAATATTTTCTAACTGTTTTTTTCAAAACGTAAGAGAACAGAGTTTGGAATGGGCTTCCAATTTCTTCTGTTCTACCTCAAGGCACTGGGGCTTCAGATTCCTCCACTGCTTCCATTCTGTCCCACAAGGTTGCTTTCTTAGTTGGTTAACAGTTTTCCAAGAAATGCCTTTTGGTTTACTGAAAATACTAGGTCAATGTTACACAAATATGTAGGTTCAATTATTTGTTTGTTTGTTTTCACCAAAAGCGTGACATTCAGATCTACACTAAGTCATTCATTCAAACAGAAAGTCAGATGCAAAATGTATGACAGGGCTATGCTCCTAGGAGGAGTGATAACCTGCAGCCTCTTGCAGTTAAGAGCTACAATTTTTTTATCTACCTCATTCTCCTTTTAAATCCTGAAAGGATGGTTCAGAAAAACATATTTTCTGCCAAGTAACATCTTTACTTAAAGTAAACTAGTCCTTTGTGCAACAAGTTTTGAAAACATCTTTTCCTAACCTTGTTTTATTATAGAAAAGGCTGAATGGGTAAATTGAATACATCTGGAACACAAGTTGGAAGGTGTCTTTCTTAGGACTCATGAAATACAGTCCAAAACTTTAAGGGCTGGTTAGGGTTTTCTTTTCAAATTGTTTGGGGAGAAAATGGTGAAAAGATGGGCAGCAGAGAATGACCAAAACTTGCCCTGTTGCATAAATTTGTGGAAAGAAACTGCAAACTGTGGGTATCTTGAAGTGAGCTGCAGCTAAGACAAACCAGACTACTTCACAGAACCAGAGAACGGCTGAGGTGGGAAGGGACCCTAGACATCACCCAGTCCAACCCCCCTGCTCAGGGCAGGGTCAACTCCAGCATGTTGCTGAGGGCCGAGTTTTAATTATCTCCAAGGATGGAGACTCCACCACCTCTCTGGGTGACCTGTTCAGCGTTCAACCAGCGTTCAGTCACAATAAAAAAAGCTTTTTCTTATCTTTAAATGTAATTTATTTTATTTCAGTGTGCCTATTGCCTCGTGTCCTTCAGTAGCAACTGTTGAGCAGTTCAGCCTGGTTGCCGGGTCTACCTATAGAAATAGCAGTGAGGAGTAACAGAAATTGCCATAAGAGTTATTTTGGGCAAAAAACATTTGTTACCACAGCAGGAAGGGTATGCGCATAAAAGAAAGAAACAGCACCAAGAAAACCAGAAAACCTGAATAGAAGACTCGGGGAAAAGGAATTCAATTGCATATAGTCAAAATTGTATTACATACCCAAGAAATAATTTGCAGCATGAAGTTTTCCTGCATCCCAGAGATTGATTATGGAAGAATTATACAGGAAAAATGGAGGCAGTGAAGATGCAGGAAACTATGGAGTAAAATGATTTATGCCACAACCTTGACGAACAACAATATTAGAAAAGCTTAATTACAACAAAACTATCTTGTCTGCTAAATTAAAGAACATTAAGAGCAACATAACTGGCAGATGAAATTTCACTCTGCTCCTTGTTTGGCAGAAATTTCAGTATCCTTAAATATAGCCTAATTCTGTAAATAGATTTTGCTTTCATTCCGTTGCCTGCGTGTATGCACTCATTATCCTCATGGTACCTATACACAATACTGGACTTGACAAAGCTGCTCAATATTTATCTTGCTATTAAGGTCAATGGATTAGCTAGTTTAAGAAAAAAAACAACTTGCTACAACTCCTTGAAATTTAGTTGCACAAAAATAAAAGCAACAATTACAGACATTTTTGTGGCCTTTTTTTTTCCCCAATTATTTTTTGTTTTCTTGAGGAGGGATTTAGGGGGGAGCCAAAAAGCAGGCAGAGGATGTAAGTGACTTGCGTCTATACAGCCAAGCTTTAACATTAGAAAAATTGTTCCATGAGGAGAAATATTGAAGTCCAGCTCCCCATTGATTTGTGTCCCGTGTTGTCCATATAACTCACCCTACCACAGTAAATCCAAGTCGTGCTCTTATACCTCCTGCATGCCAGTCCTTTAAGGCCATTTCTATTTACGTCTTCATATCTCACCCCAAAGCTTCCTTCTTAATACCTCGGCTATTGACATAACAAGAAAGAGACAGG